TGAATGTCTGAAGTGGCATATGTAAAATGTGATATCGATTGGGCATACGTGACGACTTTGACGCATAATTTAGATGAAATGGGAGTTATATCTAAACCTGAAACAAGTATCACTCATTGCCTCAGGTTTCATCCTTGTATCGAGCAGACTAAAATATTTAACTCCACATCACAGTTGATTACTTTAGATTTGAAGACAATAACAACATTTTTTAAATACGCGTAGTAAATTTCTACATCAATCACTCTTTAACCGGTATACAAATAATAAAAGATCAATGTTAATGTGGCCGTTTCATTCGAATTTTATTATCGATCGGCAAACTTCGTGCGTGCTTCGATTCAATCAGTTCGTTAATTCTAAACACATTGCATTTCGTTGTTGTATTGCAAAGTCAATACAACTGTTTTCTTTGAACACATTTCGATAATTATCGGAAGGAATAGTTCATTAAAATTCTTAAAGTGTTTTTGCACTTTTATTTTTGTTCATGTCAAACCATCAATTGAAATGTAGCACTGTCTAATGTTTAAATGTCAACCGACCGTTTTGATTATTCCTGTTCGACAGTTACTTTGTATACGTCTCCAGTTCTTTTTAATCCACACGCTTCGACTTCTGGTTGAAAACTGAAAACCAACCTGTTGAGTCTCTTCGTGTTTATAGCAATACAACGAGCATCGTAATATGGTTTGTGGACATTTTCACAAAGTAGGGATATTTGCAACCCCAAAAAGTGACCGAGTCACCAACACATCCTCGTTGTGTATGTGTGTACGTATGGGGTGTTCACACTGGAAGATTCCAATGTAATACGTGACTACTGTTAAAATGTTGTTCATATCAACTCCATTCACTTTACCAAAGTGTAGATTCCTCAAATGCATTGTTCCCGTAATTTCTTAACCCAGATATAGCATGTGTAGTACAGCTGTTAAGATAACAATTCTGTGCCATTGGTTTGTTGAGCGAGTTGAGGCTTTGCAGACCATACCACTTTATTGACCGTATGTTCTCCAGAGCTGTGCCAACAAAATAGCATTTGTTAAGTAATACATTTTTTATATCTTCTGAATTAAATTGTAGTTTTGTCGTATAACAGGTTTATACTTTAATTTTTTTATATCAAAAATATAATCAAAGGCAAATGTTATTTGGAGAGTTGTTTTTAAATCTTTGGCAAGTCAAAAATACGTTACAGTTTTATTATCTTCTTCAGTGGCGCGATTCTTCAACTGTTATACGACAAAACTACCGACAACAACCTATAACATTTCATGTGCTTATAAGAAAATATTCGGTTATTTTACGACTAAAATAAAGTAGTCGCTAAGTCCTACCGACACATATAAAAATTGGCAATAATACACGATATTTTACTTTTTCGTAAAGGAAAATTTGTTACCGAAGAAAAAAATAATTCTTGCAGATTCTGGAACAGAACAAATGTTTACTTCATTTTTACTTTATCGACAAAAAACATATTTCTGATTTGGAACTGGGATTTGGATTTATTATTTATTTGCAAAGAATCTTCCCAGCTCTCATATTTAAGCCAAATTGTTGAAATTGTTGGTGATACGTCCACGAACTGCAAGTAGTTACTACTTTTTACTACTATATTAAATTTTCCTTTATAATATCGAAGAAAATAGTAAAATCTAGTAGATTCTAGCAGTACGTGAACAGACCAATAATTTAATCCAGATAATCACCCCTATTCCGTAAGTCGTCGTCGTTGTCGACGACGTTTCTCTTTCGACATCACTTCGCATCGACATCGACATCACTTCGACACTGATTTGGTATTCTGTAACACTCATGCGACGATGTCGACTATTTATCGATAATATCAATAAAAACAAAAATTTTGTTGCATATTTTTGGGCAAAAATGTGTTTGTATCCTTCACCGCACTGTGGCACAGGGCATTATGTCAAATGTGTTTGCACTTTTTAGTATATAGTATGTACATAGAATTATTTTTCAGTCGATTTATGCATGTCCCTCCATTCATGTATTATTTTAAACAAGTATATTATGATCCGATTCCAATTAGGATGAAATTTTATTTCCACATAGACATTGGTAAATATCGGTTTAGATTTATATATAGATCCCATATATTTTTCTTTATTTACACTTTATTTTGCATTAAGTATTGAATAGATTCTAGAATGATATATCCTGTTCTTGTCCGGTCATGTTTTTTTTTAATTTCAAAAAAAAAATATTCAAACGCTTCACTCGTCAACAAAAACTATGACGAAGAAATCTAATGTTGTCACACATTGTTACGGAATACCAAAAATGTTTCAATAGTTATCGATAATTGTCGACAACGACATAGCGAATACCAATTTGCAAAAGACGACTCTCTTCGACGTCGTTTCGTGTCGACGACGACATACAGAATAGGGGTGAATATCTCGATTTGCAACCATGCTTTTGCACCAAAAAATTAACCAGTTTTCCTAAAAGTATGCATTAAAATACGTTACAGTTCAAACAAATCAATTTTAGACAAATCAATTTTAGATCTTTTTAATACTAGTCTAAACAACTAGGATTTTGTACCTCGATTTATAAATAGATTCAATCAGCTCATCAAATCTACTGTATTCGATTATTAGTGACATACATTGATTTCCCTAGGTATTGTTTGATTGACATGGCCTTATCGCTTTATGGTTATGTCATAACTAATTCTACCTATAGTCTAATCCCGTCTTAATACATATTCAGCCTTATTCTGGATGTCAATTCCACGTGAATTTACTCGCTCTTTTCCTTCGTCTTATTCTGAACAACATTTTTGTGTGAATTTTTTCGCATTCTCGCTTTCGCCTTATTCTGAATGAAGTTCGAAAGCGAAAAAATCCGCTTTGGGGAAAAATTAGGTATTCTGGATTACAGGGAGTAGGAAATTTTGTGCGAAATTTTTCGCTAATAAATTTAAGGGGAGTTGACTACAAAGACACAAGTAATTACTATTTTTATGAAAAATATTTACACAATACTTATTGTATGACGATTTAGAATATTATAAATGATAGTAAGCACACTTTTAACTGGAAAACAACCAATAAAATGCCATTGGAAATCCTATTGATAACGATGCCTGCTGATCCAAGTATTGCCAAGGAATATATGAAGGTAATACGGAATATTTAAGTCGAGTTTGATGCAGTTTGGAGGCGAAATACAGACATTTTGGGTGAGGGTCTGTCTCTCAAAAAAAAAAATTAAAAATTATGGAAAAACCAAATTTGCCTGATAAGCCGCTTAACAGTGAAAAACTTAAATAAAAATTATGAAAGAACAAAAAATATTTTTTTTAAATTATCGTAATCATAACATAACATGTCACTTTAAGAATCTGGGGAAATAAATATCGAAATTAAATAAAAAGGCACACAATTATGTAGTGAAATAATAAATTGAATTAATTAATTCAATCGCAGATTTCTTTCCATTATTCGTTGTGTTTTTGTCATCATAAAAATGTTCTTTTATTTATAATCTTGTTGTAGTTGTTGCACCAAATTGCATCAAAACAATGAACAGCTGTTTCACATGCCATATTGTAGGTTGCCATATTTTCAAACTTTAATTTATTTTCTTTTAAATACAAAGCATTTATACAGCGGATTCTTGATATTTCACATTTGTATTGCTATATAGTGTAAATAACAATAAAAAGTAACAATTTTTAATAACAAAAATCAATAAATAATATATTGAAAAATGTTACAAAATTAAATTACAATGGGGCAACACACATTGCAACTTAAATTACAATATGGCCACACACATTGCAACTTAATTTACGATATGGCAACACGAATCTTTTTTTCAACCACCATTTTCGAAAACTCGAATCTGCATCTCGCATTTTTTGCATCTCCCCATTCATTCAGAATAAGGCGAGAATGTGAAAGCGAAAATTTTTTACATGCGAGATATCTCCCTAGCAAATATCCAGAATAAGGCTGATTGTGTTATGTAGTCAGTCCATTCCGTATTTGATCCTATACTGGCATAATTATAGGTATAGAACATTTCGACGAAATGTAGTGGATATCGAATGTGGTCATACCAAATTGAAAAACTGATAAAACAACTCGATATCGACTTCAGATACACTTGGAATATTCGTTTCCTCTTTGGCCACGTCTTCATCGGTTTTGCGAGCTACAGAGAGAAAAATCAGAAAAAAATTACATAAAAAAATTACATTTTACAAAAGGCATCAAGTCCTTTATTACGTTTTAATTCATCCAGTTCTATGTTATTAGTCTACGAAAAACTATATCAGTAACATACATTGTGGTCGAATTTTGAAATTATTAAAAAGTCGTTACATTTTTATATATTGAGAAGATTTTTATGCAGAGACACCGCTAACGATTACACTGTACAACATCTTACGGTTGTTCGGTGCTAACACATTTAATCTGCAAAATCATTTGCAATTTCTTGGCAAACGTGTACCTTAGGGTACACGGTCTAGTTAACCTCGACGCGGCGGCTTCAACAACAACGATTTACAATTATATTTGATTGCATAAAGCCCCTGATTTTATTACTAATTACATTACATTCGATACACATCTGCTATTATTCATATTAATATATTACACTCTGCATTAATAATCTTCATATTATTCCAAAGAGTGTCAAAATATTGTGTAGTGCGACAGGAAACTTATACATAGAGAAATTAAATTGAGATCTTCACTAATATAATTGAGGCGATGCGTTTTAAAAACATGAAAGAAATTTAATTACAAATTTAGATTATTACAAAAATCGTGTTGAACGAAAAACTACGAAGAAGGGAGATAAATACTATTTAGATTATTTGTAGACCAAGCTACAAGGTGACTCATATCGCTCATTTCCTGCAAGACCAACTTAAATAACAAATTCACATTTTCTGCAAAATCATGTTTTTTTTTTTTTTTTGCAGCAGTTGAGCGGCATATACTGCTATAGATTCAATCGCCCAGCACATGTATGTCGTCTTCTGGATCATTTTCTCGTTGGCGCATTGCAACTGCAGTCTCCACCAGCAGGTACAAACATTTGAATTTGTCTATTATGTTATTAGAAACACCTGAAAATTGCAAAGATTTGTTCAAAATTAAAAAACTATTAAACGAGTCAACACACCTTTAAATATGTGGCTAATTCCATTATTCGAAATAAAATCGTTATGGTTTAATGTAAGGTTGTTGATTTGATTAGCGGCATTATTTGACGTCATTATCGTAGCTTCAGCACCAACACCAGATACTTCAGGACCAATAACCTCTCCACTCGGTAGAAGGACACTTGTTGATTGTTGTTGCAAAACCACACCACCTATTTTAAGGTAAAAAAATTGTCGTTGTCGTTGTAATAAATATAAAATATACTTTAGTATTAGGCATATTTGATAACCCAATAAGTTGTAACAATTTGTACAAATTGTTAATGAATCGTGTTCGATGATAACTTAAGTCCAAGGCCTACATGAGGTCAGACAGTAAGGACAGCTGAGTATTAAGTTTGCTGTGAAATCATATTTGGAAACGTATACACACATACAAGATTATATTAGACGTCAAAATAAAAATATTTATAATTTTGTCAACATTTGGACTATTTCACGATTTTAGAGAACATCTGCAATAAATTATCTTACAAAATTTTAAATTGTGTTGTGTTTTTTATTTAAAATACAAAAATGCGAAACAATTAGTTTTCGTCTCGACAAATTGACGTTAAACTTAATAGAAGCAGCTGTTTTCTCTATGAATTCTCTTACTGGTCAACCTTGCTTAAGTTAGTAAATCAGAGAGACATTTTGGGAGTTGTTTACTGAGTATCAAGGTTTATTCATAAGGTTAATTCGAAGTCTTCATTGACTGTCAAATTTATATATTGAAGAATAAATAAACAAAAACAGAACAAAATATATGTGCACATTACTTTCATTACGTTTTTCTGAAAGATATTTTGAGTTTTTATCCTGTTCTGGTTGGTATTTCGCGATTAAAATGTTGACAGCAAGAGAAGACTAAGACATTAACCTTATGAATAAACCTTGCTGAGTATTGAAAAATTATTACTGGTTAAATTTTACTAAGTAAATATTTTTTTTATGTTTATCTTTTGTTGTCAAATATAAATTGTCGAACAGCAATTTCGATTTTTAAATTTTTGAGATATTATATTAAAAATTCTAAATAATTTCGAGTTACAGAAAAACTCCATATTGTGACGCAAGCATTTTGCGAAAAAAATCTGTTTTCTTGCTGGATTTGATATATCCACTGAGTGAGCGAACTGTAATTTCAAACAAGGATCTCGCTTAATCTTATAAAAGAATTTACTAAGTAATGATTTCTGCAAAAGTAAGCAGACGAACCTATTGTAGCCAGTTTAAAATGCACATTTACCTGTGGGTGTCCTTTCGGCAGGACGGCCATGCGACAAATTAGAGTGTGATGATGACCAGTATGTGTTGTTCGCTGCCGCTGGACTGCTTGTTGTCACTTCTTCAGTACTAATAATAAAATGAAAGTACGTTCGATTATACAAGAATTGAAAATGCGAGAACGAGATTCGAAACTTACTTCATTACCGATTGCCAAGCGTCGGAATTTTCGAATTTTCCCTCTTCTCCACTTTGAGCTTCGCAGGTATCATATTCGTTTACACTGTCGTCCTCCGACCTATATGGAAACATGTCATTTTATAACTATATACATGCTATTCACATCAAATTATTTTAATTTTAAAGGAAAGCAGCTACCTCAATTCTTTTATAATACTTTTGTGAGAGAGTTCTTTATTTTCTAAATGAAAAATTTGATTTAGGGTCTGCGAATGTAAATTGTAGTCCACATGTACTGAATATTGACTACTCATTGTTGTACCATACGGAAGTTCTGTTTTAAAAGTAACGTCTGCAGACGATGACATTTCGGAAGGAATTGGACATTTATTTAAAAAAGTCAAAGGTACAGCACTCGAAGTAGACATTTCTTGCTTTTCATTGGTTGTTTGAAATCTTGCTAAAACCTTGGACTGAACTTGTGGACAAGTACTCCAAAGGTCTTGGGGATTGCTTTCATTTTCGCATCTTTTTAATAATAATTTCAGAGGCTCTCATTAATATAAAGGGTATTCATATAGTTAACCATTATTTTTCTGTCACAAATACATACCTATAAATAACACTATCGTCGTATTCTATATCTGGTTCTACTTTCACCATTTGCCCTCCTGGTGTTTGTACAAAATGGCCCAATGCTGTTAACACGTTAGCTACTCCATCATGAACTTCCTCGCCTTCCACCTCCTCAGTAGCTCCAACAATCTGTGCATGGTTTCCGTTTTAGACACTTTATTACAAAGGATATTTAAAATTAAACAAACTCACCACTTCTGATGCCGGACTGCCGGTAATAGGATTTGGCGCATTTCCTGATATGTTAAGGCTTCCCGTCGAATTCATGGATGAGTTAAGTTTTTTACCTCTGCGCGAAATTGTAAAGTGCAATGGGTCATTTCCTTCACGTCTAATCATTTCGGGCAAAATGCGCCTCCGTGCATTTATAAACCAATTACATACCTAGGTAGTACAGTATTAATATTATTTTATAATTATATACATATGGAATATATTAACGCTGTTGTTCTTGACCTATGATTCCTACCCAATGCGCATAGGCAACAATAGTAGGATCACAGATCCCACTGTCGTAAAAATTCTTTATAATATAAATGATTTATTATCTAAATCGAATAATATAATTACTGCATATATAGGAAAATATAAATAACCTGATGGCATATTCCAAGAGATTAACATTTTGTTTATAAACAAATACGGTACCTGCAACACAGTTAAATTGGCTTCTTGTGATAGAGTGAATTTTTCAGCATCGCTCGGATACGCATTGTATCGGTGTTCGTATAGCCATCGTTTAAGTATCTTAACGGAATGTTTCGGAAGATTTCCTCTTCTTTTGCGAAGCATACTTCCGTCTTGTGAGTCCATAAGAATGTCTTTGTATTCTTTAGTTTCATGTATATCGGACATATCATGTTCCGAAACGTCTTCCTCCACTATCGTTTCATGTTGGTCGTCTTCCTCCACCACTCCCAGAACTGTAACGGCACCGTCGTGGCCCATATTTCCATGTCCATCATCTTCAACACTAGAGGTCGACTGATATCGTTCTCTTGCTAAACAAATAAAAAAGTTTGTCAGCAGCACTCAAAACTCCACAAAATGCTTTACCAAGTTTGTATTGTTATTCATGGCAAATGACATTTCTCCAACTAGACATGTAGAGAACGACGTTTGTATTTTTGGTGGTATGTCGTATACATACGTCAAATTACGTAATCTGACATATAGCTTGTTGGAAAATATTATGGCAGCCAAATGACGGACGTTACCGTCCGTCAATCAATACACAACTTGGAGAAGCCAAAAACATAACAAGCAGACACAACATACCTTCGTGCGAAATAATTTGTGCTTGGATTTGGGCCTCCTGAGCCATATCTTGTATGTCCTTGCGTATCTGACGATCTAAGGCCGAATTCACCTCCTCTTGGTGATGTAAATCTGGCGACAGCATTATTCCGTCAATCAAAAAGCTGCGTGCCAGTACAAGTCAATATCGGTGAAACAAATCAGAAACTAGTCGCGCCTCCTCCGATACCACGCCACGTCCTAGCTAGCAGTGTTTTATTGTAAGACTATGAAAGAATCGTCAATCTACAACAGAAAATCCGAAATGTATTTTCAACGCCTACTGAGCACGCTTGCTTTGATGTATATAGAAATCAAACATATCCCAAAGTTCCCAGTGTTTACGGTTAACAAATCATGGAAGAATCGGTGTTAAATTAAATTTATTCGCTCATTTGTTTATATTTTATTTATTTGTGCTATATACATGTATATATATATATATATATTTAGTTTGCGCCAAGACTTTGACAGACAACTATATGTCAATTTATTTATTTTGACTTAACTCGTAATAAAAGAAAATGGCTGACGTTTGCCTGGGATTTGCTTCTTTCTCTTTCTCAAAACAAAATTAGCAGGGACCTACAGATCGATTTAAGTTGTCAACTGAAAAACGTGTGACGAAGCATTCAGATCGATATCAATTGTGAAGAATAAATGCATGGCCCAAGATCTATTAATATGGTCACCAAGATAACAATCGAAATCGGAAAACAGCTGTTTTTTCTCAAGTCTAATGTCAAAAATTTCGACTTTGTTTACGTTTTCATAATGGAAGTCAATTCACAATAATGCATTTTGACAGCAAACTTGAGAGGTATCAATAATCAGCTGGTCTCCCTTGGTGACCTTATTTATAGGCCATGGCATGGCCCAAGATCTATTAATAAGGTCACCAAGATAGCAATCGAAATCGGAAAACAGCTGTTTTTCTCAAGTCTAATGTCAAAACCTTATTTATAGGCCATGTCATGGTCCCCAAGGGAGACCAGCTGATTATCGATACCTCTCAAGTTTGCTGTACGGGAACAGACCAAATATGTTCATTTACAATTTTGTTTTTTAATTTTTTTGGTTCAACATAACAACAACATTTTTGACATTTATTTGCACTAACAGCTGGGCCGATGCGGCTATCTTATTATATATACCTTTATGCAGGCTTTGGCAATTTTTGTTTACTTGTTTCGAACAACAGGGCTGACTTTTTACACTAGAAATTCAAAGAAATTATTTTATCATTGATAGAAAACCGTGGTACAAATATACAATTATACAAGGTAGGGTAGCTTTTGTCAGAAGAGAGAAAATACGCCTCTACCTTATGAGTAATAATGTCAGAATAAATAAAAACAAATGCAACAAGTCGTTCTATACATTTGACATATATTTAAAATTTTACAAAAACAAAAAAAAACGAGAAAAATGAATGGAATGTCAGGTTTTCTTTTCAAAATCGAGTTGAGGATATCATTTACATATTAATTCATTCACAAAACATACATTTCTTCTTACAAATGTAAAATTCATCTTCAAACAAATCGATTTTCGAATATATTTTGTTATATTTTCAAATTATTACACACACAGTCACACTTCACAAGAAATAATTCAAAGAAATTATTTTATCATTGATAGAAAACCGTGGTACAAATATACAATTATACAAGGTAGGGTAGCTTTTGTCAGAAGAGAGAAAATACGCCTCTACCTTATGAGTAATAATGTCAGAATAAATAAAAACAAATGCAACAAGTCGTTCTATACATTTGACATATATTTAAAATTTTACAAAAACAAAAAAAAAACGAGAAAAATGAATGGAATGTCAGGTTTTCTTTTCAAAATCGAGTTGAGGATATCATTTACATATTAATTCATTCACAAAACATACATTTCTTCTTACAAATGTAAAATTCATCTTCAAACAAATCGATTTTCGAATATATTTTGTTATATTTTCAAATTATTACACACACAGTCACACATTTTGTATATGACTTTGGCATAACAAGCCACAGTATGAAAAACTTGTAATTTATAAGATGGTGTACACATTATATTTGAAATAAAAATACGATAATACAATTTCAGAACTAAATCCAATCGATCTCAACTGTCAATTCCATAGTGTACACGTCAAATACAATCCACTGTATTTGGGAACATGATTAAGGTGACGTATACGCTATGGAATTGACATTTGAGATCGAGTATATCTAGTAGTCTAAACGTGCTCTAAGTTGTATTTGGGTAAAACTCCTTGTACATTAGAACTTTTTACCGGGTTAACATACTTTATGAGGATTTATTTGACATATATGCAAAGGAAATGGCAATTGAAACCCACTGGGTTAACGAAATCCGGTTAAATGTAAACGTACTGTAACATTCATTGAAATACATCTATTTATTTTTCAGCGAATAAAATCGTACGCATACGCTTAAATTTAGGTACGCCCATGATCCAAATATAAAGTCATCCAGAAGGCGAATTCCTACCAAAATACAACCCTACATCTACATTTATTGTCAAACGTTATTGTTTTATATATTCGTTCAACGCGAACGACAAAATTAGTACACGCACTGATTTGTTGTTAACCAATTATTTATTTTTCACACTATTTGATATAATTTTCTTGCATTTTTACACATTTGTTTTTGAAATTGAAAAATTATTTTACATATTTTTGATAGCCAACCACGTTTTTAATTAGAAATTAAATATTTTGACAATAAAATGTAGATAGCAGCTGGCCTTACTGGATGACCTATTATATAGACCATGGGTACGAGCATCAGAACTACTTATTCAGAATTAAATATATTTTAACTTTTTTTGTGCATTTGAAAAGTTAGGCTGTGTTTCTGTCACCTAAAACTTATATTGTATATTCACCTTTAAATTATATTTGGAAAACAAATGATATTCTAATCGGAAATAGAACTTTCGATTAAAAAAAGTCGACTACGATTTTTGACATTCCAATACCATTGGGCATTAATCGAAAGTTGACTTAGGTATCCCTAATACCAAGTTCCAAATATAAACTTGTTGTGAGAATATTTTTTGTTCGTTTGGTTCATTTCCTAATTATATTGCGTATATATGAATAAAAAGAAACAATATCCAAATTTTATTTCAATTTTCGATAGAACATTTTTGGAATTTTCGTAGAAGGATTTATTGCATTTGGAAATGTTGTTCCAGCTATCGTTTTGACGTAATTAAATCGGAGAGTATACACAATTTTTCATTTACGATAGTTCGACCTGTTTTTTCTTGTATAAATACACACAAGAATGTCGTTGAGTAAGTCCAGCGCGAGTGACGACGCAAACAAATGCAGCGTTAAGACGGATGACTCGACGTCAGCTGCGTCGAAATCTTCAATTAATCTGGTCGTTCGTAATTATCAAAACTCGGATGAGAACTTGCGGGCTCTCTTCGACAGCGTCTTGAATCCGAGCGAATCGAATCGACCTTTACAAGTGCCTTTCCGCATGCGCAAGTTGCCGAATTCATTCTTTACTCCGCCCGCTGCCAGCCCGAAGTCCCCAACAGTGTCACACTCGCGAGCCAATAGTGTTGACTCCGCCTATGATTGTGGTTCCCAACCCAATATTAACCAGACTTCGGTGGCATCTTCTCTATCAGACTTACAGACAAATTCAGCAACGGCTGTACAAGTGCAACAACAGTCCACATCGACAATTAATACGCAATCAGCTGCTTCCACTTCGGCTGCACCTCAAGGTGAACCACGTCTACAAATTTGCCATTCACGTGCCCACAGTAGCCCAGCATCTCTGCAACAAACGTACAACATACATGGCGGTGGTAATGTGGCTGATGAAACACCATTTTTGCAGCAGCAGGGTGACGTTGCTCGAGCAGGAAACAATGCAACAAACGCTCCTGGTTTTCCCAGCAATTTGCTGGGTTACAACGCGGCAACTGCTGCTGTGGCCGCTGCAGCAGGTCTAAACGCCAACAGCATATTAGGATTATCTGGCGCCGGAGCCACGGGTCCTCTGCAGTCCTATCACATGAAGCAGCGTTCGTACGACGTTATTAGTCCAATTCAATTGCAGAATGAATTGGGTCCTCTGCCACCTGGATGGGAACAGGCGAAGACTCATGATGGTCAGATTTATTACTTGAAGTGAGTACATGTTTAGTTTTATCCCTTCATAGCTACCTTTGCGCTAAGTGTTATTGCTAACTATGTTTATATATCTTTTGAAACTATAATCTTTCTACATGCTGCTAATAACAATTAACCCATGCAGAAGTACGACAATTCCCCAGTAAGGTAATTAATTGTCTTACATATGTACAGCGTTACAATCACGTATTGAATTATTCTCAAGTATTAATATTTCCAACTATGTTCCTCACCCCAAACTATGACATTCAACAGGTTGCAGGAGAACAAGCCTAATGGTTGGTAAATGCTTTTGTAAAGTAGTGATAGTAGTCTCACTATTGTATTGTTTGAAATCCAATAAGATTTTCGCATATGAAGTCTAATTTGAAAGTGAACAATCGATTTGATGAGAAACAACAAGGGGTGGGTGATATTCTGCTGATTTGTTTAATTTTTTCTTAGTTAAATTTGTATTCATTTTTATTTATTCACAATTATTTCAAAATCCTTAACTAATGCTTAGTTAACTTATTGACAAATGTGTCATGTACACGATTAGTGATCATTCATTTGACATATTTTCAAGGTAATTGACAATTTAGATCTACTGGCTTAAATTCAGTACAATGTAAATGTACTACATATGTTGTTATTGAAATATTTTTTGAACGAAATTAATAATCCTAGTTCAAATCGAACATGTACTTTTCTAATCCCATTTGAATTTTTGACTCTGCTGCTCAAGTGAGCGGTAATCACGCCAGCACACGGTGGAATCAAATGCAGATCAAGCTAGAAAATAAAAGAATGAACTTAAAAAAAGCTTTGAAACAATAATATTGTGTTAATCTATAGTGTTGACCTTTTTTATTTATTATATATATTGTCTTGTCATTTTTCTAACGACTTTTGCAATTCCTGTAGTTTTTTTACATTCCATTCTAAAGAAATGTCATTTTTTATTAACTTTTGATATAACTGATCAAAAAATATGCATCTGCATTTGGTTACATAATTACGTATAAGAAAATATAATTTGAAAACTCCGAATATTACAAGAGCGAAGTGTCTCCAAATGCGGGACCCCATATTCTCAGATTCAACAACTCTAGAATGTCTCATTAAAATTTCAAATGAAGATCTGAACTCCTATTGGAGTTATAGCTGATTTATGGTGTCAGCATCAAACTAAGGTAAGTGTGATTCTTAAGAAATAAATGCGTTTTTCCTTGTAACAGCGTTGTTCACTAGAAAGGTGGTGGTTTTTAATTCCTTCAGTGAATATACATTTATTTTAAACTTATTTCTCTGACAAAATATATGAAATTAAAACGGAATCCTTAGAAAAGGAAATCCGTCGAAAACCCCAATTACCGATATACCGAAAATTGGGCGAGACTCTCATATGGGGGATATGTCAAGACATAAACCTATAATGATCATTTTCTGCGCAGAACTGTGCTTGGCGAAACACCGAAATGGCAAATTAGAACGTTTTCGGTTGAAAAATATGACTATTAACCTTAAAACACCCAAAATTGTGCAAGACTATAACAGACTATAACCCAAAATTGTGGGTGCTATAACAAAACGTGGACCGATATACCCAATTTGCACAACCAAACAACCTAGGAGTAATATCAATGTCAGTTTAAAATTTCAAAGCTTTATCTTTAATATTGCGATCTCTATCGTGAAATCGCACACACAAGGAATAACAATTTTTATTTTTTCAATTTCAATATAGTCATTTAAGGACATATAACAGTATAAAGCATGAATAACAATTTAATTTGTATAATTTAATCATATATTCATTAAGTGAAATTGTCATTCTATACCTATTCTTATAAAAATAATGGATAATCATATAATAAAACATCGACTTTTTTCTACGCGCTAGATCTGTATCTTATCCCACTGTGCAGCAGTCGAAAATAATGCAGAATAAATAATGTTAAGATAAATATTTCAGATCTACATTTAGTACATCTAATACTTATTAGTGTGCATAGATATCAGGTTTTCTGAGCAAGAAACAGTTAAATATTGGAAATAAAATATTTGGAAGTATAACTCTAAAATATTTTCTTTTATTTTAAAAATACTTCACAATATGTAACTACACAATGACATGACAAGAAGTTCACACAAAATTAGAATATAACCGTCCAAGGCCTATATAAGGTCTGCCAGTAAGCACAGGTGAGTATGAAGTTTTTTGTCGAATCATATTTTGAAACCTATACATAGATACAAAATTATGTTAGACCTCAAAACCAAAATATTAATATTTTGTCAATATTCAATTCAATTTTATTTTATATCGTCTTTTAACAGAACATTTGGAGTATTTCAAGAGGTTAAAGAAGATTTTCAAGTAAATTATCCTATAAGTTATAGATTGGGTTGTGTTTTGGCTGTGATTTTCATTTAAAGGCGAAACAATTAATTTCCGCCTCGACAAAAAAAAAGATTGACGTTGAACTTTATTCTATGAATTCGCTTACTGGCCGACCTTATATAGGTCTTGTAACCGTCGACTTGAGGAGTCATATGCAAATTAAAATATTACCATCGTAGGCATAGGAAAATAAAAAAAATATTTTTTACAAATTTATCACTTTAGTTCTTTAGTCTTATTAATTTGCTTTTGCTTCCAACGTAGTATATCTCTTAAATTATATATTACTGCTCAAATATCCTTCTCGCGACATTAAATATTTGCATGGATGGGGTAATTCTTATGTATTATTGAAAAAACTTATATTTTATTAATAGTTAACTAGTTTTGAATAAAATGTATATTTAGCATGATACTGGGAGGGTATAGAACAAAATACAACAATAACAAAATTTATGAATATTCACTAAGATAACGGTAGCAGTAGTTTTGCCATTTTTTTCAAAATGACGTTCTCGCCAAATGAGTTAAGAAAGTTACGACTATTGGTAGATGCCGACATAAGGTAAAGTCATACACAACGTCTAATGTTTTAATTTCCCTTTTTAGTTTTTGGGCATTCGTAATATTTTTCGATGTATAGATTTACTACTAAACAATGCATTCAATCGATTAAATTAAATCAATAAAGAATAACACGATAGATCGTCGAATCTATTAGTTATTTTGTATTTTGCTTTAATTCTCCAATTTATGGTAACTGCTTACTCAAATACATCACAACACTCGTAAAAGGGACACAAGTCAATACATTGTCTAGGCGAAAAATCACTTTCTCCTTCGAAGCGCTAAAAGTAAACTCACGTATTACTGCTAGTAATCATCTCAAAAAACTGTTTCGAAATATAATTTCGTGAGGCCGAATCGAACTGTAAAATTACATATACATTTATAATGGAATTTTGAAAACTTTTTTGTGGTAAGAATCACAGATTTATATCTTACCGCAATTTATTTACTGAATTGTGATTTTTGAATTAATTCAATATTTATTTTGGATGTGCTTTCATTTAGAATTCATTCCATAGCTAATTTAAATAACATTAAAATATATTATCAATTTTCAGTCATACTACAAAAACGACACAGTGGGAAGACCCAAGGACACAATTTAAACAACAACAGACTTTGAATGCCGCTTGTGAGTATCCAAAATAATTGTTTATATATAGACGGTACGTGCACTTTAACCCCAATTTTTGTTTCCTTCTCCAGCCAACACAAGGGCTATAAATAAGACCACCGCTGGAGAAAATATTTTGACTGCAAATAATCTGGGACCATTGCCCGAAGGATGGGAACAAGCATTAACGGAAACTGGGGAAGTTTACTTTATCAATCATATTGACCGTACAACATCATGGAATGATCCACGGCTAAGTGACCCGCGATTTCGTAAGTATATCTGATAGGCAGCAATTTGACGAGTGTAATAATGTATTGCCCTTAGCAATTTTAATTCAAAAAGAATTAAAACCCAAAACGGAGATGAGTTGGGTCAACGCAACAGAAATCGATAAAGATTCTGACGTATTTAAACAGAAAGCAGGACAGGTTTGTATCAAATAAACCAAATAATGGGTAATAAAATAAAAAATGCTTTTGTTTGCAGAAATCATTGAATAAACATAACATCAGTTTACATATGGATCCCTTCTTATCTGGCGACAACCACGCTCGACAGGAATCGAGTGACAGTGGCTTGAGCCTTTCATCAAATTCATTTGCCGTCAATAACGACTTTATAACTCATATGGATAATAGTATGGACTGTATAAGTGGTGAGTAAATGTGGAGCAAACGAAAAGGAATGACCTGACCATTCATCAAATCTTATTAAACTTCCTTTTAGAAAATGGCAGCATTATAGATAGTTTGGACACGACCTTACAGCTTAATGATAATATCATTATGATGAACGATGTGCTCAACTCACCATCGAATAAGCCCGATAACTTGGAATGGTATAAATTAAATTAATTTATTTGTTACGGCCGCGATCATAAACATATTTATACATATATGTATATATATTTAATATGTAGCGGAAAAGTGCGTATATTATTACAATTACAATTTCAATATTATTGTATGTTCATTAAAAATGCTAAAAGTGAAAGTATTTCCATTTTTCATAGATTTTATTAAAATTTTTTGCAAGCAAAAAATTCAAACAATCAAATTAAAATATCTTATATATTTTTTGCAATACTGCAATAACTTACATTTACACGACAGCTTAAATAAAGAAAATTGTATTTTCTATAAAACTAAATTTATACTCATACTTTAATTGTCGGATGGGTTTTTAGACATAGACTTTCTATATTGTAAGAGAGAAAACGGTTATTGTTCGTATATAAAATTATTCACTACTATAGTTTAATGATTTTCTTATATGCGATTGTTAAATCATCTGACGTCGAAGACAATTTATTATTCTAGTTATAATGTGTTAGAATATTTGAAATACTTTAGATATATTGGATATAAATTCATACGGAACAAACTACGATTTGCTTCTTAGTTTAGCCTTTTTATCGACATAATTGCCGTTGAAGACAAAAATTGAGAGATATTTTTATTTAATTTTTTGGATTTCTTAATAATTTGTACAAATTGTTATTGGACGTGAGTCGATAACTTCCAAAGTTTATTAAATTAGAGTAATTTAAGAGAGAAATTTTGGGAGTTGTATATTTAAAATTTTCCAGTAAGATTTCAATACTCTGTTATACAAAATTGAAAATAGTTCTTTCAATTAAAACTCTTTAACTGAAGTTTTGTGTAAAAAGAAAGGCATTAATTAACAATTTGCAACAATTGTTACAAATTGTTATTGGTCTATGCATGAATTACAACAACTAATAATAATACAAAAACAACATTATTGTGGCAGAATATAAATTGTAAATGCCTAAAATTAAATATTAAAGTTTTTTCGAATATATATAATAATATTACGCAAATCACTCTAATAAACATACTGCTTTATTATCGCGGCAAAATGACGAAATTTAAAATACCTCGTATTTTTTTCTGGCACGTTTTGGTACAAATTTGGAAAAAGTTCATTGAAAATTTTATTTGAAGTGAAGACCCTAACATATTCTGACAATTTATTTTATAAAAAAGTAAAAAACATACTGATTGTCACTTGCACCTTGGTTATTATGTATCTAGTTGCTTAAAAACTTCAAATTAAGCATGAATTTGTTTTCTTAAACGGTATGTACCATTATTCAATATAGGCCATAGCAACATGTAAATTACAATTTTTTCATACTGTGGCTTGTTATGCCAAATGTTTTGAAAAATATATCAAAATATATTCGAAAATCGATTTGTTTGAAGATGAATTTTACATCAAATGAATGAAGAAATGTATGATTTGTGAATGAATCAATATGTAAATCATATCCTCAACTCGATTTTGAAAAGAAAACCTGACATTCCATTCATTTTCGCGTATTTGGTATTTTCTCCTTTCTGACAAAAGCTACCCTACCTTGTATAATTGTACCATGGTATGTACATTAGAACTTTAATCTATTTCATGGGGATTTTTTTGACATATATGCAGTGGAATTTACACTTTAAACCCACTGGGTTAACTAGATCCGGTAGAATGAAAATTCACCATTACGGGATCAAGGTTTATTTATAAGGTCCTTTAGTGAATGTCCAAATTTGTGGTTTGAAGAATAAAACGGCATTTACACTAAAACTTTTTACCGGGTTATCCTATTATATGAGGATTTATTTGACATGTATACAAAGGAATTGACTATTGAAACCCACCTGATTAACGAAATTCGGTACTATAAAAAAATAACAATCAGCCTTATTCTGGATGTCAATTCCACGTGAATTTACTCGCTCTTTTCCTTCGTCTTATTCTGAACAACATTTTTGTGTGAATTTTTTCGCATTCTCGCTTTCGCCTTATTCTGAATGAAGTTCGAAAGCGAAAAAATCCGCTTTGGGGAAAAATTAGGTATTCTGGATTACAGGGAGTAGGAAATTTTGTGCGAAATTTTTCGCTAATAAATTTAAGGGGAGTTGACTACAAAGACATAAGTAATTACTATTTTTATGAAAAATATTTACACAATACTTATTGTATGACGATTTAAATATTATAAATGATAGTAAGCACACTTTTAACTGGAAAACAACCAATAAAATGCCATTGGAAATCCTATTGATAACGATGCCTGCTGATCCAAGTATTGCCAAGGAATATATGAAGGTAATACGGAATATTTAAGTCGAGTTTGATGCAGTTTGGAGGCGAAATACTGACATTTTGGGTGAGGGTCTGTCTCTCAAAAAAAAAAAAAAAAAATTAAAAATTATGGAAAAACCAAATTTGCCTGATGAGCCGCTTAACAGTGAAAAACTTAAATAAAAATTATGAAAGAACAAAAAATATTTTTTTTTAAATTATCGTAATCATAACATAACATGTCACTTTAATAATCTGGGGAAATAAATATCGAAATTAAATAAAAAGGCACACAATTATGTAGTGAAATAATAAATTGAATTAATTAATTCAATCGCAGATTTCTTTCCATTATTCGTTGTGTTTTTGTCATCATAAAAATGTTCTTTTATTTATAATCTTGTTGTAGTTGTTGCACCAAATTGCATCAAAACAATGAACAGCTGTTTCACATGCCATATTGTAGGTTGCCATATTTTCAAACTTTAATTTATTTTCTTTTAATTACAAAGCATTTATACAGCGGATTCTTGATATTTCACATTTGTATTGCTATATAGTGTAAATAACAATAAAAAGTAACAATTTTTAATAACAAAAATCAATAAATAATATATTGAAAAATGGTACACAATTAAATTACAATGGGGCAACACACATTGCAACTTAAATTACAATATGGCCACACACATTGCAACTTAATTTACGATATGGCAACACGAATCTTTTTTTCAACCACCATTTTCGAAAACTCGAATCTGCATCTCGCATTTTTTGCATCTCCCCATTCATTCAGAATAAGGCGAGAATGTGAAAGCGAAAATTTTTTACATGCGAGATATCTCCCTAGCAAATATCCAGAATAAGGCTGAATATTTTTATTCCAGCAATCACCCATACTTAGTCTGTTCCCGTACTGCAATAATCTACTAGACTTTACTATTTTCTTCGATATCATAAAGGAAAATTCGTTATCGTAGTAAAAAGTAGTAGATTCTTGCAGTACGGGAACAGACCAACTGTTGGAATGAAAATAAACGTAGTCGGTATTTGGTCTGTTCCCGTACTGCAAGAATCTACTAGTTTTTACTACGATAACGAATTTTCCTTTATGATATAGAAGAAAATAGTAAAATCTAGTAGATTATTGAATGAAAATGAACGTAGTCGTTGGTTTGGTCGGTATTTGGTCTGTTCCCGTACTGCTAGAATCTACTAGTTTTTAATATTTTTGTTGATATCATAAAGAAAATTTTGTTATCGTAGTAAAAAGTAGTAGATTCTTGCAGTACGGGAACAGACCAATTATGTAAAATTTACGACTATGTCAAATTTTTAGAACACTTTTTATATAGAATTTGAAAAACTACGTCCATGGTACAATTATAAAAGGTAACAGCAAATCCCAGCTGATTTGATTCCAACGTAATACTAGTGTCAATATGAATTTGACAAATTATGTTTTTAAAAATCACCCAACAGGAAAATTGGGAACGCATACAATTTAAAATTGTTCTGTATTAAATGTGATCCTGTTTTCAATTTACTCAATCTGCCTGCTGGGAAAGTTTGAGGAAGCAAATCTTTCTTCAAGGAATATCTCGCTATTCCCAGCATTTTCATATGTGTTACACATATATATGGCAATGGCTCAATTATAGGAAAGATGTGGAATAGATAGAAATATAAATTTGATAGATTTTCATTCATGTTTTTCAATTTTTATTTTAAGGATTCGAAAATATTTCATTTTCAAAATAAAAATTATTTGATGATAATTTGTTTGTTTGTTTACATTTTTCTGTCAAATGAGTTGACACTAGTAGAACTTACAACAACAAATTTCCATGTGGTTGTTGTATCGTTTTTTGTACAACAACACTTGCTGTTACCTTCTATTATTATACCATGAACTACGTCCTTTATGGGTCGATTACGGATGGCAACCATAGTTTAGTGGCGTTGCCAGTTACCAAATTTGCATTATGGATGGCAACTGTTGTCAACTTCAGTTGCTTCAAATATAATTTTTCGGCAACCATTTATTTCTGGTTGCTGTTTATAATAACTGAACATTGTAGGCTATAATAACTGAACATTGTAGGTCCATGATATGTACGTGTGTATCATCAATACATCCGACAACACCCAGGAACTTTGTTTTCGATTAAAATAAATTTATTCGATAATGAATTTTCCTTTACGATATCGAAGAAAATAGTAAAATCTAGTAGATTCTGGCAGACCATTATAACAACTTTCATAATTCCGATTTGTCGTAAAAATACGACACTGCACAAATTTCCACACGACTTCCCAAACTATTTTGTGTTTTTATCGTGATATAATTGACTAAAGGGATACACTGAACGTTCGCGTCAAGCCATCCGTCGCATTATGTGTTATCGAAAACAAAACAACCACAAGGAAATGATAACACCAACGCTTGATGTTGATGTGCCTTGCGCTTCAGAGTATATATTTTAACAAAATATATTTTAACATTTTGCGAGAGTTAACGGGATAACAAAAAACGCGTAATGCGAACATTCTGCTTATCCCATAATGCATGAATTCGCCTCCCCGTAGATCTTTTTAATAGGTCTTGTACTGGATTTTACTGGACTTTTTCAATAGCTTCACATGAGAGAGCAAACTCTCTCAACGTAATTTACTGAGTAATTTTTACTGGAAAAATGATCGTCGATTTATGTACAAAGAAACAAATATTTTGGAAAACATTATATGTTTTTAATGTTGCCAAATTTTGTGTTTATGTTTTCATACGATTAAGAATGGAGGTCCCATTCTCCGTTTCAAAAAATAAA